TCAGATCTCCTTCTCAATATACTAATTTCCACCTATGAGTGGAGTCATATAGAGATCGTCTTTCTCTGACTGACTTATTTCGCTTAACATAATGCCCTCGAGGTCCATCCACGTTGTTGTGAATGGGCCAATTTCGTCTTTTTTTATGGCTGAGTAGTATTCCATTGTGTATATATACCACATCTTCTTTATCCAGTCATCAGTTTCTGGGCATGTAGGCTGGTTCCACGTCTTGGCTATTGTAAATAATGCTGCGATGAACATAGGGGTGCAACGGACTCTTGAGATATCTGTTATCAGGTTCTTAGGATAGATACCCAGTAATGGGATGTAAGCCTTTCCTTATTAAAAACAAAAACAAAAACAAAAACTCTTCCAGGCCTCATGTCAAGTCAGTACAAAGCAAAGTCGCATGTATGCTGTCACTGCAATGAATTGAGATGGTAAACATACCCAGGAAGGAAGCATGTTTGATTCCAAATCCCATATTTCCTGCACTCTATTTGAAATCATGATGAAGGAGTGTTAGCAGAAATAATAACAGTAACACCTCACATCAGAACAGAATCATACAGCCAGCCTTGATGGCCTAGTGGTTAAAGTTCAGCACACTCTGCTTAAGTGGCCTGGGTTTGGTTCCCGGGCGTGGAACCATAACCACTAGTCTGTCAGTAGCTATGTTTTGGCAGTGGCTCACACAGAACTAGAAGGACTAACAACTAGAATACACAACTATGTACTGGGGATTTGGGGAGGAAAAGAAAAAGAGAGAGGAAGATTGGCAATAGACATTAGCTCAGGGTGAATCTTTCCCAGCCAAAAAAAGAGAACAGAATCATACAATATCAGAGCTGAGAATCCTGTGAATTCTCCCTGTGAATCAGGAAGGCACTGTCACACTCATCTGACAGATAAGGAAGTGAACTCAGAAGAATTAAAGTGGTGTGCTCAAATCACCTTTTTAATAAGGAGTAGCATTAGGACTTGAACACAGATCTTCTGATCTCTGTGATTGGAGAGCTTTCTGTGCCATCAAACTTTAAATGGCAGAAGCACCTATCTTCTGCCTATTTTACACTCATATAGGCTAAGAAGGAGAAAACATTCTAGTTATGCTAAAGTGGCATGGTAAGGTGAAAATTTATGCAATTTATACATCACACAGATACTGCTACCAATATAAATACAGATGGGGCTCACAGAAGTGCCTACAAAAGAAGTCATCACATTGTCTTCATGTTTGCATTAAGCCGATGTGATATAATTAAGGCGACACTCCTGGGGGACAGGAAAAGGATGTGATGAGTTACATCATCCCAGAGAGTCAGCGTCAGTTCATGCGGGACATATAACAAACACTTCTTAACGACAGGTGTGTAGAAGCTCATGAAGCACTTTTAAATCGCTCATCTCATCCTTGAGATAGAGGTAAATACAGGGTCAAGACGGGAAGGTCCCTAAGTCAGCCTTCCTTATCTCATTACACCTGAGATCGTCACTGAATTCTTCCTCCACGTGGCCTTTTTCCTAAGAGGTTTCCTGTTCCAAAGGAACAAAGAGTAATCACATCAACATCTCCAGCTCTCTGATGAGTCAGGAGAAAGGTGCTCTTCCTGCTTGCAAAGCGCCTTTCCAAGAAGCTCTAGGATGTTCTTCTCAAACAGGTCATTATTTGTTTAAGCACCACACCTAGGGGTACCAGACCTCTAACTGCCATTTTACAGGTGAAGAAACAAGCCCAGAATGGTTCATGGAACTCTCCGAGGACACAGAGTGACTCACAGGACCAGTACTGGTTACTGTGTCAAAGGGTCCTTGCTGTCTTGGTAAAGGACTGGGAAGTACTCTTACTGCTTGGTGGCTGCTTCCGATCCTGGCCTGCCTGCTCCAGCGTGCCTGTCTGTAATGAAAGGATGCTGTATCCTGACTCCTTCTTCCCCAAACAAAGGGGTCTGCTCTTCACTCAGAACAGTGGTTCTCAAAGTGGGGCATCTATGAAGTCCTTTCCTTTATCCCTGGTCCCCAAGATCTGGCACAGGGCCAATAAATGATGCTATTCAGGTGACAGCCATTGGGGGATAAGAGTATAGCTTTCAGGTAGGAATAAGGACTCAGTAGCATTAGTCAGCAAATTATCTTCCTCCCTCCTCATTCACTATCTGTCATTCACTCATAGCAGAGCTGTGGAGCCAGACCGACTGGGGTTCAAATCCAAGTTCTACCCATCATTTGCTGTGTAACTTTGGACAAAGCATTCGACTTCTCAGTGCCTCAACCTTCTCATCTATAAAATGGGAATAGTAAGATACATCTCATATGTGAGGATTAAATGAAACTCTGTGTAAAGCACTTAGCACATAACAAACTTTCAATAAATGTCAACTCTTACTGCAGTTATTATTACTATGTAATAGATCTCATTGTCAGATTTTGCCAGAAGCACCATCAGGAACCCACTAAATATGCATTTCAGTTACTTTTTAGAACAAATGCCGTCCTCAGTTGCTGACCATTGTTTTCCAGTACAGATGCAAGATTTTCCACTAAATTTGCTTAATGTCTCTGGGAGTGAATCAAGGAACAATTGGGGTGGGCTAGCAACTACTGGAGAGACCTGGCTGTTCTTCTTTGTTAGGGGATTAGAAAGAGCCCCGCAGGCGGAATGGCAGGTAAAAGCAGAGAGAACCAAAGGTGAGAGAGGGCTCAGTCACTCCCTGGAGGCGTACCAAGGCCTTGATCCCCGGGATGTTTGCTAGAACCAATCTCACCGGTTCTACGGTGTCAACCAAATGGTAACTAAAATCACTGAATTGCTCTCACTGGAAAGAAACTTCGGGGTGTCTAGTTCAAGCCCTCCCTGCCATCACTTTTTTACAGATGGGAAAACTGAGACTTGGCGATGGTGGGTGACCTGCCTGCGTTCTCCATGCCGGACCTTCAACCTTAGCCTCTTGACTCTGACCAGGCTCTCTGTTGAACTCCACTGTGGGACAGCCTGGAAACGGAGGCTGCTGCCAATCCAGCACTTTATTGAGGACTGGCCCATGGATGAGACAGCTGCCGCCTGGACTCTGCCTGCGACAGCCTTGCTAATCATCTCTGGTGACACCCAGCCTGTAATCACGCTTGAGAAAGACACTGCCTTCCAACCAAACGTTTGGTGTTGGAACCTCAGCACTTCTTCCCTGAGAAGAAACAGTCTCAGGGGCAATTCTAGACAAAAAAATAATGTGGAGAAAGATTAAGTACAAAAGATCATAAAATAAGAACTAAAATATTGTTCAAGATAGCCCCAGTGGAATATAAAACATACATGCCAGGTGAGGCAGAGATTCAAGTTAGAGAAGGCGAGAGCAGTGATGATGTTCAAAGACAGCCTGCATTAAGACCTCCAGAGGGCTTGTTTATACCACAGATGGCTGGGCCCCACTTCCTAAATCTCTAATTCAGTAGGTCTGGAGGTGGCCCAAGAGTTTGCATTTCGAACAAATTCCCAGGTGATATCGATGCTGCTCCTTAGGGAGCACACTTTCTGAACCACTGGGTTGGAGTGAAATAGAACCAACATTGTGTTTGGAATAAAAAGAAGAAAAGGGTAATGAGAGGAGCCAGGGAGGAGAGTGACCTGTTAGGTGGGTGCTGATGAAGCAGATCTGCGTGGGGTGGGGTGTGGTCCGGGCGGGACGTACGTACTCCCCAGGAGTGTTTCCAGGCACTGAAGCACCCTCCCCAGAGAATCAGGAACCCGTAAGTCTATGACTCACACTTTTCCAAAACCCTAAAAGACTGACAAGGGAACTAACTCCCAGGCCAGCCTTATAATGTGATTTTTTTAAGGCCCCTCCTTTAGCTGTATCTCCCTACCTGCACAGTGATGCTCATTCCTCCTTTTTTTTTTTTTTAATATTTCATTTTTCATTTTTCTCCCCAAAGCCCCCCGGTACATAGTTGTATATTTTTAGTTGCGGGTCCTTCTAGCTGTGGCATGTGGGATGCCACCTCAACATGGCTTGATGAGCAGTGCCATGTCCGCGCCCAGGATCCGAACCAGCAAAACCCTGGGCCGCCAAAGCGGAGTGCGCGAACTTAACCACTCAGCCACGGGGCCGGCCCTCATTCCTCCTTGATGAGGAGCACAGCCTTCCATCCAATAAGAAGGCACAAGTCTTTTTTTTTTTTTTTTTTAAGACAGGTCTTTGGCTGAGGAACAGGTGACAAGCTCACTCATATTAAATGTAATCAGTTAAGCAGCAAGTATAAATGATGGTACTGAATCTGTTCCCATTTTGATTGGGAGGAAGTTTAAAGCAGAAAGGCGTCTGATTTCGAGGGAAGAGGAAAGAGTTGGTCCGCTGGTGGAGAAGGAGACCCGAAGCAGAAGATGGACTTCACAATCATCCCAGCGTGGCTGGACCAACAAAAGCCAGGTACTGTGTTGTCCCTGGGAGGAGTCGGGCCACCTAAACTGTAGCGTGTGCAAAGATTCTGTATAGGTAACATGGCCCAGGACAGTGCTTTTACTGAATCAGACCTCAGCTTCCTAATCTGGAAAATGAGGAAACTGACTAGATTTCTCTCTAAAATCTCTTTCAACTCCAACTTCTCTGTTTTTATGGACACCCTGAAGGGCCTCCAGGGTAAATCCTCACTCACAAGATCAAAATAGCACAGGCTGTTTGGGGCACATTTTGTACCGAAAAGATCTACCGCAAACCACAAGGCCAGGGAGCACAGAACAGCAAATTTCATTTCCTTCGGGCGTCCAAACAAGGATGAATATATCAAAGCAAATCCTGCGCTAAGCGAGCTGTGCAAACACTGTCTAGAGTTACGATCACCTATTTTCAGCTCACAGGACAGATGCTGAAGCTGCCAAAGTGCCACAGGCTTTGGGTGTACAGGTCTACAACATGAGAAAAGACAAGGTTCCTCTGGGTTTAAAAGTATTTCAGGAGGCGTCAAAAGTGCTATCAGAGACATCTGCGGCTGTAGAGGAGGCTGCTTTCAGCTAAGGGGCTTGTAAAAGATTTCTCAACAATATACATTTATTGAGCCCCAACTGCATACCAAGCACAGCTTAAACAATTGTTCGTGGTGGGTTAGTTTCTCGAGCTCAAGGACCATGTAACTGAAACAGGTGTATTTCTTCAAAATGAAAATGTTTTATTCTATGTGTATAGCACAGATGTGCACGCACACACAAAGTCTCCAAAATATGTTAAAACTGAAGCTATCCGACCTTATTTTCCTCTTCTTCTGTTTCCTCTCTTTTAGCCAAATGCATCACCTTCATTTCTGCCTCTGTCCCTAAATTTATGCTATTCCTTTTCAAGGATATGCTCTCTTTTCCTATATAAGTAAAGAACTATCTTCTTCTTCTTTCATATTTCCCAAAGTGTCTAGGACAGGGCACAGGGTAAATGATACTCAGTATAAGGCTCTGGGTTTCCACTTTTGTTTTCAGCTGGACAGAAAGAAACTTTAGCACAATAGAGAATGCAAAACTCAAGTCTCTGGTCTTGGGCCTTTGGTGGCCGCCTACCCATCCAGGTTGCACGTACTTGGCAGCACTTCAAAGTGTTTCTGCCATTGCCTTTCTATTAATATGAAAGAATATTTGGACCACCTGTGTGTGTTTTGTTCCCATGGATAAGAAATGTTAAATAATGCTTCCTTCAGAAAGAGCCCACCCCATTCCTCACAGATTGTGTATACAGCAGGAGTCTGGCATTAGCTCAAGCTCTGTCTGCTATCAAGATCCAAGTGGGTCTGGGCAGTATGGCTCAGACAGGTGGATGGGGCCCTCCAGGAGTCCACTGACTTTTCAGCAAAAGAGCCAGACCACGAGACAAGAGGGAAATTAGGCCACCGTATCTGGTCAGTCCCAAGGACAAGGAGCTGAATCTGAAGGAGCTGTGTTCACTGAAGCTCTGTGAGGCAAGGAGCCAGAGGCAGCTCTGCTGTGGGGAAGAGGTGACAAGGCATACACACAAAAAGGGAATACTGAGAGCCTCAGGTGCAGTGATACACACACACACACACACACACACTCTCTCTCTCTCACACACTCACACAAACACCGAGAGACAGAAAAGGTCACAAAGAACAGCTGTTGAGAAACATCCAAAATCACTCCAAAATAAGCACTTTTGGGGGGTCAACTGTCCCTTACGGGTACTCAATACACTTACATCCAAATATTTAGGCCACCTTTTGTACCCAGTGTAGACACTGATTTTGTGATGTTTGTGTGTTTATGACTAACGGAATGCAAGTAAAATGAAACCCTGGGAGAAACTCAAAAAACCTAAAAGTCTATATTTCACTTATGACTGTAGAAAACAAAAAGGTTTGTCAGGGATACATAATAAAATGTTATTTCACATATCTGATACCACCCTCAGGAAAAGACACAGCTAAGAAGCTACTAGATAACTGGCTTATTTCAGGTTCACAGTTCCTTTTCTTACATAGCTACTCTGACCCTTGCACATACTCAATACACTGAGAGCTAAGTTTCCAGACTACGTGTGTACCATGGAAGTCACTGGACACCTTGATGTATGTTTGTATTTAACAAGGCTTTCATACACCTAACCTCATGTATCTAGACCCACACTTATCTGGGTCCCAGGTCACTCAAATAAATGATTTGAGGATCAGAAAGAAGAGAGGCTAAAGCAGAAGCAAAAAGCCAGCATCAACAGCCAAGAAAGAATCATGTCGAGTGTGAGAGAAAGACTCTAGGTGGTACCTCTAGAGTATGCAGTTTTCTATGTGAGACCCAGAGAGGTTCTTATCATAATAAAGCCACAGTTCATGTGCCTGGCACATTATGGCTTATCAATTACCACCATACACTTCATCTTATTTGATTTTGCAAACAACCATGAAAGATAGTTAGGGGAGAGATGATTAACTCCTGTCTACACATGACAAGAAAGAGGCTTACTCTAGTGATTGGAATTGCTCACTGAGAGTTTGCAAGTAGCAAAGCCACACAGCCCATCTAGAACTTAAGATTTCTCACGTATCAAGACTCCACACTTGAAAGAGTATATCCAACCTCATTAATAAGAATATTTCTGCATGGCAGTAATCGTTTCATCAATAGTTGTATCTGTAGTGTTATTTGCATATTTATGTTTTTCAGGGGTCCTCCATTATCTTACACACACCTCAAAGACTCCATTTTCTCTAGAACTCCCTATTTTGCTAGGGTGGATGGGCAGGTATTTAAATGCTGCTGGTGATGATATAGAGAATCTGGTAACTTACCAAACTCTATTTAGAGCCCCAGATGCCTAGAATGGTTCCAAACACCTGTGGCTACTTATGAAATGCAGCACTTATTAAACCAAAGACAGCATCTTCTAAAGATAACGAGATAACTAAAGATCTCGTCAGCTCTCAGGCACATTCTGCTGACAGCTGTCATTTGAACTGTAGTGGCACGTGGCAACAGCTAAAATGTCACACTCAATTAGGCTACCAGAGGCAAGGTAGGGAAGCTGACAGTGGACTCTTTGGAAATTATTAAGATTCTCTGGGACCTTTGAAAGACTTCTCTCCATTTAACGTCACCATGCTAGGGCACCTGCCTCCAACATCTTTCCATCCCAGCATTTGCTTTATTGTGTGCAAGATGCTAGGAAGCAAAGCCAACACGACAAACTCCCACTCTAGGTACCAAGAAGTAAATAATAGTTGTGTTCTGTGAATTGGTGGGCTGTCCTTCTTGGTTTTTAAGTGAGGCCATGGCATCTGTTTAAGCTTAGATTCTGCTCCTTTGTGACTCTGATTTATATCGCAATTATATCTGCCCTGGGTTATCTGATAAATCAACTACTTGGTTTGTTCCTTGAGAAAACTTAAAATGCCCTGCAAACCAGTCCCCATTTATCAAACTTACAACTTTCCCACTGATTACACAATAGAGGGACAAATATTTGATTTGATTTCATGGCTATTTGATTCAATTGCAGTTGAAGTTCTCAATTTCTTTGTTTTAAGGGAGGAGTTGCAGACAGAAAGAGGAACCAGCCCAGAAGAAGAGGTGTTCAGATTAAAACAATGATGAAACATGCATTTTAATAAAGGGACATACAGTAAACCAAAGAATAGGAGTTTGTGTTAGTTTGATAATTGAAAAACAACGGTCTGAATGTACTCAATACAACTAGTTGGTGCTACTGAATGAATAAAATTAAATACCATGTCTATGTTCAGAGAATCACAATACTTTACAATCCTTCCTGGGTTATTATGGTTATTTCTAAAACTCTTTTCCATAAAAAAAGTATAATCTTTCTTCCTCCAGTTTTTTTCTTTTCTTTTTAAAAAAATTTATTTATTTTCTTTGATTTGCTGCAATGATCACATCATCTAGTTCCCTAAATCTTCTCTGAACATTTAACATGAAGGATAGAGAAGCTTTTACCCCAAACCAAACTCAACCAGTGAAACTTTCCGCAACGCATCATGTGCCAACGACTCAAGTCCAGACATTGCATTGGTGTGGAATTAGTTCTATTTCATGAGCTTAGGGTGTGACTTTCATGACCTGAGAATAAATCCCATCTGTTTTTGTAATGCATCACTACATTTGAGTTCTATATTGCAGATCTGTTGAACTTTTACTTAAATTAAATGTATATTCTGTATATCTTGAATACATAAGTTGAAGGTCAGGAGGTAACCATTAAAATTAAAGAAAGGTAAAGTCTTAGATTAAGAAATCAGTAGCGAAAAATTCAAATCCAGATAATAAAGCATTATTTGCACTTGAGGATATGCCTGTTTCCTTCTTCATGTTCTTTAATATTATTTTATTCCCCATGGTTCTTCCAAACCTCTTATTAGTATCATGCAGTTGATTCCATAGTAAACATCAATGCCTCTGATCCTTCTCTTGACCCCAGTCCAGGAAGCAACATGAGGAGAAGGGTGTCCATCCATGGCATTCACTGTTGTATCGCCAGGGCCTAGCACCACTCCCCAAACTCAGCATACACACAATGTGGTAGGTTCAAATCAGTAATCATTTCAGTGCTTCCGTCTTTCTCTACTCCCTCCTTCCTGACCCTATCTCCATCCACAAACACAAACATTCTCTCTCGTCGTCATCATTCCCTACTAAACTAGCTCCTCTTCCCAAACATCTGATTTCTAGGAATGACTCTGCAAATATTCCAGCCACCCAGGCAATATTCTTAGCCACCTTGGACTAAGAAGTCCTTAGGGACAGAAATTAGGACTTAATATTCCGTATCCCCAGCACTCTGCATAGTGCTGATAGAAACTCAGTAAATGCTTCTCGTCCTCAAGTTTCTTTCATCCTCTATGTTTAACCTGTCATCAAGTTCTGTTGTTGACATCTTGGAAATTTCTCTTGATTTGCCTTCATTCCCCAGCTACTTTTCCAGTCCAGAGTCTCGTCATTTAGTGTCTGGAACTCCACTCTTCCAACGCATACCTGCTGCCCAGCTCACCTCTCCCACGTAATGACATACAGAGGCTCCCTTTTAATTTTGACACGCCACAGGTCCTGAGTCCTCTGTGCAGCAATAAAAGCTCTCTGTGAGCTTCCCTCCCTCTGCCTCTCCCTCTCATCAACCACACTGACCCCCATTCCCAACTCCAGGCTCCTGCTCCAATCCAGCAGTCACACATCCTATGTCTGTCCCGTTTCTGTCTCTTTGCCCTCGATATTCCCAGGGCCAGGAATTCTCTGCTTATTCCCTTCAACTTCTATAAAGCCTACTCATCTCTCCTCAGGTCCCACTTCACCATGAAACCATCTCCTTCTTTTCTAGGTCACAGGGATTTCTCCTTTCTAAAACTGTTTTTTTAATTCTCCAAGGTTCTTTGCAATATTTTGTTCAATAGCCCTCCATTTGTTCCTGGATTCTTACTCTATTTCTCTACCTCAAATGTCATCTTTCTGAGGGCAGGAATCACGCTATTTACTTCTTAATGTCTTATTCAATACAAACAAAAGCTGGCCCCAGAGGCTCGCGATAAATATTTGTAGCTGATTAACTCAGATAAAGTATTATCAGCAGGCATATGTACAAAAAAATTATTCTGGGAGGAAAAGAGGAAAAAGGACATATCCAGTTTCTCCAAAAACTGCAGGAGAAACTGTGCTGTCTATATACCTAAAGTATGTAATCTTAACTAATCTATAATAAAATGTTAATGGCACTTTAAAAAAAAAGTTCATATACACTGCCTTAAATCTTGTTCAAATCCATCCGTTAATTGCAAGGCACTGTGATAGACCTTGTGTTTTGTTTGTTGCCAAGTGAAAAAGACAGCTCTGTTGCTACAACATCGTAGACCCGTGGATTCAAAAGTCAAACAGAAAAATATGCTTTTGATGTTGTTATCATTACTAGTTAGAGCCATAGTAAGAGGAACAACGGCCCTCATTCTCTCTGCCTGCTTATACAAGGGTTATTTACCATTTTGCTAGGCCTTGCATTGGTGCCAAGTGCTTCACAATATCACTTTTATCGGTCACTCACCACAGCACCATGTGATGCACAGGAATACGATGGCCCCTCTTGAACAGAGCGAATGCCCTCAGGAGACACAGAGAAATTATGTGAGGGACTTTTCTGCTCTAAGATAACAGAGAGAGTCAAAGCTTGAACTCAAAGCTCTGGTGTCCTGCTTAGAGCCCTGGGAAAATCTACAAAGGTCTTCCTTCAGTAAAGCTGAGAAACATTTGTTCCCCAGCTCATTGCTTTAGGTTAACTCTCTGGCGATACTAAAAATCAACTCAACCCAACAAATATTTACTGGGTGCCAAATAATGCTAGAAACTGTGCTAGACAGGGGCTATAGTAGTGAATCTGACACACCTGGCCTCCCTGATGGGGCTTGGGGTCTAGACAGTGGCTTACAAAGGAGGGGCCTAAGACCATCCTTTGGGGTGCAGTTAGAAAATACCAGAATGTCTAGATTTATTTTATCTCACCTTTGACAGGGTTTTTTTAATTTCTATTTTTTGTGTGTGTTTGTGATACACATAATGCATGAGGACAGTAGTACATGTGTGTAACTGTGAAATGAATATGCTCATCTCGGGGGAAATCTATGGTCAAAATATATTTACAGATGCAAATGGGCAAGCAGAAACATTTGGAAACCAATGGACTACAGGACTATTTGGACTTTCCTGAACATGCCATGACATTTCACATCTTTGAGTCTTTCTACTTGCTATCTTGTCTGCCTAAAACACACCTCCCCACCCCCACTGTACCCTGAGTGAACTCCTTCAAAACACAGCTCAGCTGTCACTTGCTCAGGGAAGTCTTCATTATCCACCTCCCCCTGGCAGTCAGTGACTTCCATACGGTGCACCCATTGCACCTTGTATACCCTTCTCTTGCAGAAATTCACACTGCACTGTAATTGTCCACTTTCCATCTCTGGCACTAGCTAGCTGGACTCTCTGGCTCTGAGGTCCTCAAGGGCAGGGTTCAAGTGGTTTGCCTATTTTTCTCAAGGGCTAACACGGTGCCCGGCACATAAGAGACTCTCACAATTTCTGTGAGAAATTTATTCACAATTTTGTTCTTTCTAATTTCAATTGACTTGAAGAAGACAGAAGTTTCACATGAGCAATCAAACAGAATGCCTTTTACTTCCTCCCTCCTCCTCGTATGGAGTGGCAGAGGTGCTTTGCAGGGAAGGATGTTCATGCGCGAGACACTAGGCTAACAACATTTGACCCCTCCAGTGAAGTGGAAAACTCAGACCTGGGATGTGAGAAAGCTAAATATTTTAAATTTACCAGTGAGGGTGGTAAATCTTGAACTAAAGATGGAGACTAAGTCCTGCTAAACCTGAGAAGAACAAATCAGAAATGCAGAGACACTGTGTTCAGGTGGGAAAGTCTTGTGAAGATCCCTGAGAGACTGAGAGGAAAGGAGCTCAGGACTGAGTTACAAGCCTCAGGTGCTGTCTCAGCTCTACATACACTAACCACCTGGGGCCACTCAGTCTCCAGAGAAGGAGACCATCTTGATTCCTCATAACTACTTTCAAGAGTTGACATGATAAAGTAGGCGGTAGGGAGGAACCAAGAGTGTCAGTTAAGCATCCTTGCTCTGGCACGAAGTCAGATGGCCAAGCAAGAGTGATTTAAAAGGACTGGATTAGATTATCACTACGGTCCCATCAGCCAAAAATTCAACAACTTGGTTATGCTGATGACATGGAGATGGTATAGCGATCAAAAATGGTACGACTAATCCTTTAGGAAGACCTTCACTAAGGTGCGACTTGGAGAAACTACGTTAGTTTTCTGGACCTCTTCCAGTCAACAAATATTAATTGAACACCGAGTATGCATCAGGCAGTGTGCCAGGCACTGGGAGGGCAGGAACAAGACAGACATGGACCCTGCCCTCATGGAGCATGCAGTTAGTAAACTTCACTTTCCTGTCTCTAACATGTAAAGGTTCTTACATGTCTAAAACCCTGAAATGTGACAATTCAGTGTCAACTCCAAAGTGGCATGGCCCTCAAGATTTCCTTTCCAATTTCATATACTTTAAAAAACTCCATTTGAACACATCAGAACCACAGAGCTTAATTTTAGCTGTAAAATAATCCCTCATTCAATTTAAGAGATCTATATTTTAAGCTATTACATTTATTTCTTTATTTTAGCTCTTATCACTGAAAACTACTTCAGGTGCCCTCATTGGGGCATCAGCATTACAAAGCTGAGTTTGGGATTTGGAATCAAAAATCCTAAATCTAGGGGCCGGCCTCATGGCACAGTGGTTAAGTTCGCACGTTCTGGTTTGGTGGCCGGGGGGTTCACCGGTTTGGATCCCAGTTGGGGACCTACACATCACTTGTCAAGCCATGCTGTGGCAGGCGTCCCACATATAAAGTAGAGGAAGATGAGCATGGATATTAGCTCAGGGCCAGTCTTCCTCAGCAAAAAGAGGAGGATTGGTAGCAGATGTTAGCTCAGGGCTAATCTCCCTCAAAAAGAAAAACAAAAAGAAAAAAAATGGGGGCTGGCCCAGTGGCGCAGTGGTTAAGTGCACATGTTCCGCTTTGGTGGCCCAGGGTTGCCAGTTTGGATCCCGGATGCAGACATGGCACTGCTTGGCAAGCCATGCTGTGGTAGGCATCCCACATATAAAGTAGAGGAAGATGGGCACAGGCGTTAGCTCAGGGCCAGTCTTCCT